CCAACCACTGCCATTTTGCTTTTTCCGAATTTGAGGCAGATTTTTAACAAGAGCTCTGTCTGGTCATACAGAGAAGACTGCTCATGACCTCGTCATTGTGGACCTGGCCCTGGGTGCAGTGACCAGGGAGAGGGGTTGTCTCCCTTTGGGGACGGGAAGGAGGGCAGGGAGGAATATTTCACAGCGTGAGCATCTTAGAAGCTCTGTCTTGGGAGGAAGGTATTCAGGCAGTGCGGGGAAGTCAAAAGGAGCCCTGGTGTTGCGCCGGTTAAAACGCTTGGCTGCTAACTGAAAAGCTGGTGGTTCAAAACCATCTGCCACTCCATGGGAGCAAGACGAGGCAGTCAGCTTCCATAAAGATTCCAAAAACCAAACCAAACTCACGGCCGTGGAGTCGAATCCGACTCATAGCGACCCCTCCTTGGGCTTCCAACGCAGTATCACTATGGAAGTAGATTGCCCAGTCTTCCTTCAGAGGAGTGGCTGGTGGGTTTGAACTGCCAGCTTTCAAGTTAGCAGTCAAATGTCTTACAGCCTTGGAAAGCCCATGGGGCAGTTCCATTCTGTCCTCTAGGGGCGCTGTGAGTTGGAATCAACTCCACGGCAGTGGGTGTGGTTTGGGCTTTGCTTCCGTGAAGATTGACAGCCTTGGAGACCCTGTGGTGCAGTTCCACTCTGTCCTCTAGGGGCACTGTGAGTTGGAATCCACACGATGGCAGTGGGTGTCAGAATGGAGTCGCAGTGAGCATTTGCTATTTAGAGACAACCAGCCTCAGATCCTCCGCCTTCCCGAGAACAGAATCCCAATTTTAATTCAGAAAATCACTCTCAGTGGTGCAGCCCAGAGGCCTTAGGGCAGGATGAGTCATGGCCAACTCCAGGTGTAATCCCTAACTGGCTTAAGCCAATTAGCATGTTCCAAGCTCGTAGTCATGGTGACCAGGTTAGGGATGGACTTGAGATTGTGACTCAATCCCAGCCAATGAAGCCTGAGCAGAAACATTCCTGGGGACTTTTCTGAAAACAGTACCAGGAAAAGCCGGAAGGAAGCCTGTGGTCCCAGAAGCTGTGGACAGCCACCCTGTAGCCACAGAGAGAGCCAGGCCCAGAGGAAGCGGGTCAAGAGGGAGGCAGCAAGGGACAGAAAGGAGCCTGGTCTTTGGTGACATGGTCTAACTGGGGGGTCGAGCTTCACCAGAAGCGTGCTTTGTTAGGCTACACGAGCCCACCAGTCGATGGTTAGTACAGGCTGAGTCAGCGTCCACTGCTCACGCACACAAATCCCCCAGCAGTCTCTCTCCCCTTTCCTCTCCATTGCAGAATCTTGTTTCCCACTTGCTTTGAAAAACCACATATCCTTGAATTCTTGTGAGAATTCAATAAAAGATATCCTTGAAGGTCCTATCCATTCTGCCTGCAGTTATTTCCAAAATACACGCGCTCTCTGCACCTTCCCATGTCCGTATGTCAATGCTCTTGTCATTGTTCTTCCAGAAAACCCACTGGCATCTAGTCAATTTTGACTCACAGCACTGCTACAGGACAGAGTAAAACTGCCCCACAGGGTTTCCAAGGCTGTCAATCTTTATGGAAGCCGACTGACTCATCTTCCTCCATGGGCAGCTGGTGGGTTTGAAATGCCAACCTTTAGGTTAGCGGCTGAATGCTTTGACCACTACATCACCAAAATCAAAACCAAGACCGCTACCTTAAAGAAATAAGTAGGTAGCCCCTTCTTGTTGGAGCTTCCCAGATTGTGGGTGGAGTCCGGCCACCATAGGTGGCTCCAATGAGTCCAAAGAACAAAGCCTCCCCAGCTAGTTGCCCCACGCACCCGAACAGTGCGTCAGCTTGCTTGTCGACCCAGCTCCCTAACAGCCAAGGGGTGGACACCACCCCAGGCAGTGCTCATGACCTCTGCATAAGGAAGGCAGAACAAGCGTTATTGGTCTACTTCCTGTGAAGGGAATCTGTTTCAGAGAACATAAATAGTATGTCAATTATCTGGACTGAAACTTGGATCGTCTCCAGCCCGTCCAGTCTCCCCCGTTCCTCACACACTGCCCCTGCTTCAGGTCTGCCTACCTCATAAGGCGCACGGTTAGCAGCACCGTCAGAGGCTCATAGCATGTTGGCTGGATTCCTCAGATACGCTCATAACCACTTCCTCCTGCATCAGGGGACAGATCCTTTCCAGGTGTGAGCACGAAATCACCCTTCTCCTTGGGTCCGATTCTTCTCAACCGTGAGGTAGGCTTGCACTTCATCCTCATTTCTTTTCTTCCTGAGAGAACTGAAAGGGCCTGGACTTCAAGTTTGTCCTTTTCTGCTTTGCTGTCAGGTCTCCTGGTGAAGTCACCAGTGACTCTCACCAGGTCCCTGCACAATTAGCTCCCATGCCTGGCTTAGCGAAGGAACATGTTCTCTGCCCTGGGAGACCACGTCAGCTGGAGAAAGGACCCAGGGTCTAGAGTCAGGAGTCTGGAATTTGGGCCTCTGTTCCCCACTGCCTGTGGCTACACGCTGTTTACTTCCTTGAGTTCTGGGAGTTTGTAAAAATGGAGACAATAATCTCATTCAATGCTCTTGCTTCTGAAGAATGAGACAGCGTTCTGAAACATGTTGTTTGTTCTTAGGTGAAAGATGTTGTTTGTTCTTAGGTGAAAGATGTTGTTTGTTCTTAGGTGAAAGATGTTGTGAATGCTACCACCACATGTTTTGAGCTGCTCTTATAAAGACTCAGTTCCAACTGGCACTGGCTTGTTATATTGAGCACAGCTTAAAGCACGGCTCCCTTTGCCATGGGTGAAACCATGGACCAGGTGGGCTCCCTGTTTAGCTTGTGTCAAGAGCTGCTCTTGGCCCAGAGCCTGAGAGACGTATTGTTCTTTATCAGCAAAAACACATCCATCCGAATGAGGAACGATGTGATTGTTCGTCATCTGAACACTCCAAGCGAGCGGCAGAGGTCAGTTAGCTCACTTAGACTGACCTTTCTGAACATTGTGCTTCTTAAAAACAAGAAAAGCAAGAAGGAAGAAAGAAGACAACACTTTCCTCCTTGATCTTTACGTTTGACCATCTGGTTAACTGGGGAACAATCTCTTCTCTAACTTTGTCAAATACAGGTGGTCCTCAACTTACAACAGAGTTCCTTTCTGATGACTCAGTCATAAGTTGGTTCTGATGTAAGACGTACCTCACTTTTTTAAAGTTTTCATTATTGTTGTCTTTTATTATCAGTATTGTTATAAATCTGATCTTTACTGGTCTTTGGGGGCTGGACACATGACATAGAAATTACAGATGTATTTTAGAATTGTCTGAGCACACATCAGTAATGAGAAGATGGCTGAGCAGAAGAATGGGTTGGTCGTCAGTGTGGCTTGTCATAACTGGAACATGTTGTAAGTCAGGGGCTGCCTGAATTGCAGAGTACTTTCAGCAAATATCACCACTAATTGAAAACCTAAAAATATCAAAAAAAAAAAGAGTGGGGTATCTGTGGATATCTGTGTGCCCATCTTTGAGCAAGAAGGTCTAGTGTAATGTGTAGAGCATCAGACAATTGAGGAAGGAGAGTTGAGAATCACCGTGGCAGTGAATGGAAATCCCTGTCACATCCTAAAACTGGCCTGGCCACCTCAGTATGAGACAAGTGAGGCAAGAGTGAAGGTCAATGCAGGTGAAACAAATGTGAACAGGAATGAGTGGAAGATGAGCTAACAGGAAAAGAGGCTGACGAGGGCAGCTTCCATTCAGCAAATGATATATTTATTTATTTGTCATCTGTTTTATGCCCCTTCACTAAAGGATACAAACAAACATGTTGTGAGTTCTAGAAGGTAGACAGGACATCCAATACCAGGGAACTGCGTGAGTTTTATCAGAAAATAAAATAAATCATAAACTTACAGTTCACTCACAGATCACAGAATGTGCTTGAGGTACTCAATGCAGAAAGGACACCAGGTGCTCGCAAATACTGTGGACAAGAGGACCCAGCTCTACTCCCTGTCACCAACCTTTCGCCCACTGTCATCAAGCAGGTTCACCACCAAGCCCAGCTCCTAGAAAACACCCAGAACGGTGGAGGGAGCTGGACTTCCATCTCCGTCAGGAGGCTGGGAATCAGGATGCCATCTCCAAGTCCATTGGTCCCAGAACCTCCGTGCCTGATGGATCCAAAAACAGCTTCCTCATACAGTGCTGTTAAGGAATGAATTGTATCTTCAGAAAGATAACATTGAAGTCTTAACCCCAGTAACTGTGAACGTGACCTTGTCTGGGGAAATTGGACATTTCTCTGAAGATATGATCAGTTAAGTCCTACTGAACTAGAGTGGGTTCGGCTCCTAATCACCCCTGAGTGGTGTCTGATAAAAGAGCCTTCCAAGCCAGTTTCCCATGTGAACCCTGATGAGTCAGTTTGAAGGCAGACAGACACACACACACACACACACACACACACACACACAAAGAAAGACATGCCATGTGAGGCCTGGGCTACAAGCCAAGGAATGTTAAAATAAATAAATAAATAAGAGCCCTCGGGGCTACCAGGAAGGATCTTTCCCTAGAGAAGCCTGAGAGAGGATGGATTTGACGATGCCTTGAACTTGGACTTCTGGCCTCCAGAACTGGGAGAAAATTAATTCACGTTTTCTAAAGCACCTGTTTTGGGCCATTTTGTTGTAACAAACCAAGAAAACTAAGACAACTTGCATCCCTTTCTCCCCACTCACTCAGTGATGAATTTACTCACAGGCTCAGAAGTCTTGTTTTGGGTCACAGCCACAGAGAACCCCTTTTGTCTAGCTCTCTGTACAGGGCCATATCCCAAGAGTCTCTGACAGTAGGAGCAGAGGCTAATGTGAGGATACAACCAAGATCCCAGTGCACACATAGCACTATCACAGTAAGATGGGTAATGACCGAGAGGCATAAGAGAAGAATGGAGAGGCGCATCCCCATCCTGTGGTCCAGGGAACTGTTACAGGCTAGTCGGAGCGGGCAGCCTGGCAGTAGACCAGCTTCCTCAGGGCCTCCTTGCCCTCCCGGTTCCTCAGGCAGTAAATGAAAGGGTTGAGTGCAGGGGTGACAATGGTATAGAAGATGGAAATGACCTTGTTCACGTTGAAGGCGTGGATGGCTCGGGGCCTGGCATACATGAAGATTGTGGCTGAGTAGAAGATGGTGACCACCACAAGGTGGGAGGTACACGTGGAAAAGGCCTTCTGCTTCCCCGTGGGCATGCGTAGAACAGTGGCCAGAATACACCCGTAGGACAAGACAGTGATCGCAAGTGGGAAGAGAAAGATAATCAGGGCCAGGATGAAGTCCACTAGCTCAGCCGTGGACATGTCTGTGCAGGAGAGGTTGAGCACAGGAGAGATGTCACAGAAGAAGTGGTTGATGACATTGGGACCACAGAAGCTAAGGTGGGAAATGAAGCAGATCTTTGCCAGGGAGATGCCAAAGCCAATGGCCCAGGAGCCAAGAGCTAAGCAGGCACAGAGCCCATGGCTCATCACAGTGGGGTAGTGGAGTGGGCGGCAGATGGCCACATAGCGGTCATAGGCCATGGCAGCCAGGAGCACACACTCTGTGCACATGAGTGCAATGAAGAAGTAGAGCTGGATCATGCAGTGGGTGAAGGGGATGCTGTTACTCACAGACCAGAAGCTGACCAGAAGCTTGGGCACAGTCACGGAGATGTACCAGGTCTCCAGGAAGGACAGGTTGGCCAGGAAGAAATACATAGGCTTGTGCAGTGGCCGATTCTGCTGCACCAGCAGGATGATGACCACGTTTTCAGCCACAGTCAGGACGTAGGCCATGAGGAACACCAAGAACACCACAGCACGCATGGCCCAGGTCCCGGGGAAGCCCACCAGGATGAACCTGGTGACCCGTGTCTGGTTCTCTACTTCCATGATGCAGACACAGCTAAGAGCTGTCCTGGGGGAAACAATCACTTAATCAGACTCTGTGGTCCAGTTAGAATCATCCACCCTCTGCCTTTTCTGGATAGCAGTAGCAACAAAAGATATGGTTTATTAACCATGAGTTACAGGCTAGAACAAGGACAAGGTGCATGAGACACGTAACTTAATTCTCACATAGTGTGTGTGTGTGTGTGTGTGCGCGCACACACATATATGGTATTACATTGATTTTAGTGGTGAAGACTTGGAGTCTCAAGGGCTATTCATTAACTTCCCAAGTTCACACTAGCAGCAGGGCAGGAATCACATTCAAGTCTAAGTTCAAAGCCCATGCTTTACCCATGCTATGCCTATGCTGCCTTTGTCAACACTGCAAATTAAGCAGTATCAAGCTTCCACATTTCATGTTCAGATGGCCAATTCCAAAGAACACCTGGCCTTCCTGTCCCACCACCTACCAGAGCATGGAGAGTCCTTCTTCATACCTGTCTCCCTTCATTACTATTAGTTCCTTTTTCTCTACCATCACAGGAAACGGAGGGGAGCTACGACATCTGGGAGGTATCCTATGAGTGTCGAGACAGAAGAAGTAGGCTTTGTTCAAGTCCCGGCTTTGCCACTGACTTGCCATATGGCCTTGACCCTCACCCTCCCTGAGACTCAATGTCCACTTATGAACATGAGAATACTCATGTCTGTCCAGCCTGTGTCACTGTAGAGTAAGATCCAAATGATATTGGGGGAATGAAGTTGTATGTAAAGCGTAGAAGACAGTAGTTTTGTAAATGGTGGTGTTTGTAAACTGCAGAAGACAATACATGTGAAAGGACTCCTTCCCCATGAAGGTGTGCATTGGCTAATGGCAGAGCACAAAACCAACATGGCCACCGGAAGGAGTGCCCAGCCCTGGGCTAACTGTGGAAAGAGAGTAAAAAAGAAAATAAGGGAACAAACAAATTCCTCATGAGATTTCAGGCATTGTCCATGAAGGCTTAAAAAGGTGTGGGTGTGACCTGGGAAGGCCTCTGCCCTCTAGGAAGTGACATCTAGCTAGGGCAGGGTCCAGGCTCCAGCCTGGGAAGACTTGTGCTGAAAGGAGCCTGCGTTGCTGAACCGATGGATGGAGGAAGTGGTCGGCGGGCTGCAATGAGGCATCTGAGGATGGTGCATGCGCAGTGGGCGGACAGCAGAGGCGTCAGGCTGGGTGGGGTATGGCACGGCTTAGGTTATGGAAAGATGCCTGGGTGCCTGCAGGAGGCAGGAATGGAAGCTGCCAGGCCAGTTCCAGGCACCTGCCACGACAGTGACAGTGAGGTGGCAGTGACCTTCAACACTGGGGTTTCGCAGAAGTGGGTAGATTCGAGATACATTTTTAGGTATAATTCTTAGCAGTGATTGATGGTTGAATATGGGAGGAGGAGGAGAGGGAGAAATCAAGGAAGCGCTCAGAGACATGGCTTATCACGCCTCATGAGATGCTGTTTACTAGATAAGAAACTTGGGGAGCTGACAAGCATTTTCCTCAGTTAAAGAGATGCCAATGGACAGGAAGTGGGAGGGATGGTTGATTCATTTTAACATGAGGTCTGAGCAGTTAGTCCAGCCGATTCTGGAATAACAATTTACTGAGCATTTATCAGGTGCCAAGAAGTGGGCTGATGATTTTTCTTGCATTCCCATTTAATCTACCCAGCAATGCTAATAAGGTATTGTTCTAATTTAGCAGAAGGCCCTGTGGTTTAGAGAGATTGACATTTCCCAGCTGGAAAGCAATGAAACCAGAATTGCAGACCCTAGAGGTCTCCCTGACGGGGAAGATGAGACAGGCTTTACCACCGGGCTGACGCACATCGAGGAACATCACCCTGTGGTGGGCATACCACGACCTTTTGACTTAGCATGTCTGACTCGTTTAGGAAATGCTCTGTGACCCTCTTGCAGTTCATTACAGGCCAGTCGCTCAGAGACGACAGAGCCCTGTGGCACAACAACTCGACTGCTGACCAAAAGGTGGGCGGTTCAAACCCAGCAGCAGCTCTGCAGGAGAACTGGCCATCGGCTCCCACTAAGCTTACAGCCCAGGAGACCCTCTGAGGCAGTTCTACTCTGTCACATGAAGCTATTTGGAGTCAAAATCGACCCAACGGTCCCCAACAGCATCCATTCTCTGTGCGTCCGCAGAGCAATCTGGCCATGGGGAGCTGCCTCTTGAAAGTGCAGTCTGTCTCCTACCTCGCTACCTTGGTACCACGTTTAAACATACCTGCTTACAAGTTCACGTAACTGTGCACAAGGCAGGGTGCGACGTCGGAAAACTGCGAGAGAACGCTCTGCCAGGAGGACGTCTCCACTTCTCTGTAACAGAATGAAGAGTGCGTGGGCGCCAAGTGGTGGCGGTCATTCTGCATTTACCTGCTTGAGTGTACCATCAAACCTGTAGTCCCTTTCCACATGATACCCCCTGCCCCCTCACAGCGTCCTCAGACCTCCAGAGCAGATGTCACCATTGACCTAGACCCAAGCGTCCAAGCTGCTCTCCCCTTCCTGAGTCTCTGAGGCTTGGCCTTCCCTTCCATTTTGTCTGGGTCCTTTACAAATCTAGGCTCCAAGTAACCTGGATTTGGTGAAAATATACCCTCTGTGCCTGCTGAGATGCAGCTATACTTTGGTAGCACCTGGAAGGAGGTGCCCGGTGTGGTCCAGAGGAGTCAGGAGGCGGGGCAGGGACCTCCAGGCAGGGGCCACAATCCGGGGTCCCCCTCTCTGATCCTACACACTGAGTGATGCCCTCTCACAGCAGCGGGGGACTGCTCCCTGCTCTCTGCCTGCCTGCTGGCCCTTAGCTTTCAGACTGTCCTGGGGTTGGGGTGGGGGGCTGGAGGGAGAGGTACTGACCTTTCAGGCCATGGGGCCCCTGGAGCCCACTGCTGCAGTGCTGTCCGCCTGGTTAGAGCAATGCTCTGGGAGGGCCACTTACCTCCATTCAGCCGCGTCAGGTGGGGTGGGGGCTGAAACACCTCACGGGTTCTGGAATAAGAGTGGAAGAAGTTCAGGTGGGGAGCAGATGGGAGGAGCCCACTCTCAGCTGAGCAGGAGTAGACGGGACCCCTCTGTCCCTCGACGTCTGAGCCGACGGCCAGCACTAGAGGAGGGAGCGCCCAGGTACCAGGACCACGTCTGCACCTGAGGTGGGGCCAGGCTTAGAGTCCCCCGGGTTGCAGAGCCAGAGCGCCCCAGCCCTCCTGGCAGAAGCCACATGGTCTGAGGGCAGCAGTGGTGAGCGTCTTCATTTCTGAGGGATTTATGTGGCATCAGGACTTTTCCTGAGTCTCTGCCAAGACCCGGGGGAGAGGAACCTGGCGGCAGGCAGTTCAGGTCTCCTGTGGGAGCCACAAGGAACTTCCATTGTCTATTGTGGTAATCTTATATGACATGGTATTCCACAGCGAGGAAGAGTCCACTGTGGCCAAACATTTTGGGGAAAACCAACCAAACAAACATACATTTGAATGTATTCAGAAGATGAGACTGTCCCTGGACAGCTTCTGGGGACCAGGGGAACTGTTTAGTGAAAGAGGAAGTTTTAGTAGAACCTTTTGGTTTCAATGTTTTGGCCATAATTTTGTGCTAAATAGCATTGCTTTGCAGTAAGTCCAGGTATGGGATGGAGTAAATTTATCACGATGGGGTCATTGTCACCTTGTCAGTGGCCCTTCGGGCTCCACGGGACCACTATGCCACATTCTGGGATGAAGCTCTAGTTAGCTAAATGTCACTGCTTGGGAGTCTGCCATTCCTGAAGTGGCTGTTACAAACAGCCTTCAAGTTCTCTGTGGCCACATGAACTGCTAGACAGAGCTACAGACAGGTCTAGGTAGTTTAGTCTGGGGGCCACACATTCCTATGGCAGTGAAACTGCCTTTTATATAGCTCCCGATAGGACTGAAAGAGGAGCCCGGGTGGCACAGTGAATAAGGCATTTGGCTGCTAACCAGAAGGTCAGCGGTTCAAACCCACCCGCTACTCCGAGGAAGGAAGATGAGGTGATACACTTCTGTAAAGGTTTTTTTGTTGTTGTTGTTAAGTGCTGTCGAGTCATTTCCGACTCATAGCAACCCCATGCACAGCAGAATGAAACACTGCCCTATCCCGCGCCAGCCCCACAATCCCTGCTATACTTGAGCTCATCATTGCAGTCACCGTATCAATCCATCTCGTTGAAGGCCTCCCCCTCTTTCATCGACCCTCCACCCTACCAAGCATGACATCCTTCTCCAGGGAATGGTCCCTTCTGACAACATGACCAAAATAGGTGAGACAAAGTCTGGCCATTCTTGCTTCCAAGGAGCATTCTGGCTGCACTTCCTCCAGGACAGATCTGTTAGTTCTTTAGCAGTCCATGGTACTTTCAGCATTCTCCACCAGCACCACAACTCAAAAGCATCAACTCTTCTTTGGTCTTCCTTATTCATTGTCCAGCTCTCACATGCATACCAGGCGATTGGAAATATCATGGCTTGTGTCAGGTGCACCTTAGTCTTCAAGGAGATATCCTTGCTCCTCAGCACTTGAAACAGTTCCTTCACAGTTGACTTTCCCAATGCTACACGTCGTCTAATGTCCTGACTGCTGCTCCTGTTGGCATCAATTGTAGAACCAAGCAACGTGAATTCCTTGATAACCTCAATCTTCTCTCCATTTATTGTGATGCTGCTCATTGGTCCAGTTGTGAGGATTTTTGTTTTCTTTCTATTGAGACGTAATCCATACTGCAGACTGTATTCTTCAACCTTCATCAGTAGGTGCCTTAAGTCATCCTCACTTTCAGCAAGCAAAGTTGTATCATCTGCATATCTCAGGTTGTTAATGATTCTTCCTCCAATCCTGATATCACGTTTTTCTTCATACAGTCCAGCTTCTCGGATTATTCGCTCAGCATATAGATTGAGTAAGTGTGGAGAAAGGATACAACTCTGATGCACTCCCTT